ACTCACAGCGATCCTCCTGCCTCAGCCTCCTGAGTGCTGGGATTACAGGCGTGCACCACCATGGCCGGCTTAGGCTCCTCTTTTAGAGACAGTGATATCTCAAGGAGAGCTATGAAACCTGAGATCATGAGATTTGCAAAAATCAATGCCTATTATTGTATTTTCAAACAATCAAATGGAAAATGAAAACGTCATCTTTACTCCTTTACAGACTTGTTAAAGAAATAATAGGTTTTATTATTTTTTTTTCATAGGTTATATTTATACCATTGTAGGGAACAGAGAAAGGGGACATTACTTAGAACCTGTGCAGTAAGTCCTAGTCTCCTACAAGCCAGGACAGTACAAGGTGAATTAATTTATAGACAGAAAAGATAGAAATAATAAGATTTAGAGAAGCTGAGCTTTAGACCTGATCAGTGCTGCTCTGGGCAGCAAAGATGAAAGTCCCCGAGCTTTATTCAGTCCATCTGGAGAAACAAATGTAACAGATGACTCAGGGCAGAGAGTTCAGTACATCAGAGTAACAAATGTAAAGTGTCACTCAGCCAATTAAAAATCCTAGAAGAGTGAGGAACTATGCAGAAGAAGATTTTGTTCCTCCTAGGATGTCTTCAGCTGGTCTAGGCCAGGAGCATCACATCACTGGACCACTGAAGTCTAGCTGTGACCTGAGGCAAAAACAGAGTTATGTGTCAACATGCTGTAGCTGGCCTTTAGCGGGGAAAAGTAGGTCCTAATCATGATTTAATTATGAAATGATCCCCCCTCCCGGCGTCATACAGAATTGCTCCAACACAGCATCTTGAAACAGCATGGAGATGTAAAGTTTACAAGCTTTTCTAGAATTTGTCTGTGCTTGAAGACCTCAGTTTCTTCTCCACTGTGGTACTTTCACTTCCTGATAACCTGTTCAGGAGTTCTCACGTCCTCATTCTGCTATCAAGGGCTCCTGTCTGTTGTGAGCCACTTTCTATGCCTTAGCACGTAGCATTTGACAGATGGGTTTGTTTTTGTGATTTTGTTTCCATAGGATACGGTACTGGTCTTTCACATGTAAATATTTCCAGCATTAAACCAGCGCAGTGGTGTATGACTAATCCCAGCTACTCAGGAGGATAAGGCAGGAGGATTGAGGCAACTTAATTTCTCTAAATATTAAAAGCATTAAAATGGTTGGGGTGTAGCTCACAGGTAAAGTGCTTGTGTGAGACCCTGGGTTCAATCACCAGTACTGCAATGCAAGAGTGAGTTCTAATTGAAGGGATTTATACAAAATCAATATACAGGACAACTTCAGGGGCAAAGTTCCAGACACCTACTGCTCTCCTTAGGAGGGCAGTACTAGCCGCCTGATCATTTCCTTGCTGCTTGTTTTTTTTGGGGAGGGATTGAACTTGGGACCTTATGCTTGCAAAGCAGGTGGTGGAACCACTGAGCTAAATCCCCTGCCCTGCTTGGGTCTTCTAAAGATCCTCCTACTGGTCCTTTAAGTGCATGTGTGTGTTTTTTGAGGAAATGTGTGGGATTTGAAATAGATGAAGTTATAGACAAGTGAGAACACAGTGGACAAAAATCCCAAAAGGGCATCCAAAGGCAGGTTGCTGTCATGTGTATCCTGCCCAGCGACAGTACCACCACGTTGTGATCACAAATGTGGAGTAACAGCTCTCCTGAGCTCTAAGTGAAGGCCTGAGCTGCTGAGAATGGCCTTTAATGACACCAATCTCCTCACATGGTATAGCTGCACTTTTCCCTTTCTTATTTTGTGTGCCATGGTTCCTAAAAGACCCAAGGCCAAGCTCTGAAGCCTGCAAGAATCCTCTATGTTCTGGCTGTAACTCCAAGCATCTTCAGCACTCCACAGAAAAGTTCACTGTGGGATCCAGATGCACTGAGTTTGAATGTGAGCCCGGTACTTGTAACCAAATGGATGGCGTGATGTGTCCACTGTAACTGAGGGCAGCTTGGGTTAGGGAAAGCACTTGGCCAGTGTCTATGTGCAGTGAGTATCTAGAAGGGGCCATCACCAGGCAAATCCTACTATGCTGACCCATAATCACCCGTGGAGGTTGGAGGTGCTGGCTGCCCTTTTCCACATCTGGTCACCTCCCCATCCACACAGCCTGCATGGAGAATCCTGCTGTAGTGTACTGCCTAGCTTATCTTCAGCAGGCTCGTATAGTAAGGACAGAACCCAAAGGACTGGCAGCTGGGTCAGCCAGGCCCCTCAAATGAGGAGCCTATGGCTGAAGGCAGATGTCCAAGCCTGGTGTATTTGAGGCTGTCCTTCAGGGTTTTCATTTAGTGCCACAGGACTGGTTAGTTTGATAGAGAAAACTTTTATAAATAGCAAAATGTCACACTGTAGAATGACTTCTGCTGTCCCAGCAGCAGTTTGCTTTGTTTAGTTCAGAATTAACAGACACTGGAGGCATTAACCACTGAGAAATCTGGTCTCATCCTGAGGTAACGCACATCAAGAGCCCCTCTCCCCAGCTCCAAAAGTTTTGTAAACATGATTGTAAAGGTCAACATGAAAAGAACCATTGTTAACTTTGTTTTCCTGGGCTAGAACAGATAGGGGAGTTTACCTTTAAGATTCATCTAGCTAACAATGAAGAAGTGCTACATCTGGGTTGAAATTTAACTGACTTGTGTATCAGCAATGTTAAGTGTGAATGAAATTAACCATCTGAGTGAGATCACGGCTGTAAAACCCTATAAATTTAAATTGTAACCCAGCGTTGTTGATCCTGGCACTGCTTTTAGGTGCGCTGGACCCTCATCGATTAAACTTTGTTATTTTACTTCCATTCTATGCCTCTGTGTGTCACTTACCAGTTCCTTGTGTAACAAGTTATCAGTTTACAGAACTTTCTCTGATCCTGGGTACAGCACCTCTGGGACAGGTCATGATGCAAATGCATCCAATCTCTGCTAAACACTTACAGCCCAGGGTTAGGGCAAAGCCTTGTCTCACACCTTGGCTGAGCACAGAGTAACATTCTGCACACAACAGGCACTTAAATAGAATCGGTGAAGAGGAAGCTCTCAAGGCCTTGTACAATCTGGACTCTCACTGCCCAGATCTCATTCTATTCATTCCCCTGCTGATGCCACTGACATCTTTAAAGGGAAAAAAAAAAAAAAAATCCTGATGTCTGTCTCATTCTCTTGAAAACAATTCCTCTTGGGCCAGGGATTTAGCTCAGTGGCACTGTGCCTACCTCCCAAGCTCAAGGTTCTGAGTTCTATCCCGGGTACAAAAAAAAAAAAAATCCTCTTAAAGTAACAGAGCCGTCTGGGCTTGGTGGGTCCAGGACGCCTCAGCCATGCTGGGAACTAGACTCACCCTGATAGACATTCAGCTCTGGGGATGGCATCTGGTGTGGAAGCCAACTATTTACCTCCACATGGGGAGCATGGGACAGTCTCTGCTTGCTATCTGCTGCACTGTTCGGCTCACCAATGCCAATGACCAGACTTTGTCTTGTGTTGTAATGGTACAACCGGTTTATAACTTATTTTAAAAATCTATTTTCAGCTCAATGTAATGTGTAGTTCAGTGGTAGAGAGCTTACCCATGCAAGGCCCTGTGTTTAACATGTTCACGATGGGGCCATAATTCACGTCTCACGGCTGGATGGATCCGAACCACTGGTGGTACATGCAGGGCCCATCAGGTGGCAATGAACAATCCCATCAGTTAATACAAGCCACTTGGTGGAACAGGCATTCATAGCGTATACCATGGCATTTAAAGCTAGTCAGAATGTGCTAAGCTTAAGATCAGCCCAGGGTAGGACTAGAAAACTGCAAAATGCAGATTATGAGTCAAGCTTATTCACCTAATCCAGGTCATCAGCCCAGAGAGCATTAAATCCCAAATGTAATAAAACAATTCAGAGTTAACTTTCAGTAACATTACTTTTAAACAGCGAAGTTTTAGAAAATTGTAGGTGCAATATTTCATTAAATATAAACAAGACAATGTAAGTTTGAAAATAAAACAATGTAAATCTTAAATAGAATAAAATACATAAAAGGCAAAGGTAGAAACTTAAGTATTTCTCAGAAATGAATCCTTTTTGCCAACACATGTACTGTCATGAAGAACACACCTGAAAACGTCAACGCAATATTGAGGGGAACTCACAGAAATGGGGTAGGGCTGCTGGCTGCTTCCACCTGAACAGGGACTCAAGTCAGCTGGATGCCCCCAGGGATGAGCATAGCCAGACCACGAGCCCTAGGCGGCCACCTGTGTGTGCCAGAGCCTGCACATTCACCATCCCATCCCTTCTGGGGGTCACAGGCTGGTTTTTCAGTCAGTGAAAAATAATTCTCAAGATTTTAAAAAAAAGGTGTTCAAATACACAGTGAAATCCAGTTAAACATTTAAAATTTATTAAACTTTTTGGTCAAAATAGTTGGAACAAATATATACAATCTTGTTTTACTAGAACTGTTTTTCCTTATGGACCAGGGTTGATTAATGCTTGAACAACTCTGTCCCACATGTCACACGTAAGTTGTCATGGAGATACAGTATAATTATTTTTAAATAAAGTAAAGGTACTTTAGGTTGTCAATTTCTAACAGTGTGAACTAAAGTGGCATTCTGCTAACATTAATTCTGGGTAAGGGTATCTTGTCCTTCCGTATTATTAGTAATCAAAATAGATCATTTCAGCAGTGGCATGTGAGTCCCAGCATTACATCCCCCTGGAGGACATTGATCAAGCATGTGCGTTAAATCCCATGGAAGCAAGCTCCAATCACTGAGTGCTGGTATACCTTTTTGTGTTGGGAAGCCTTGATTTTTGATATCAGAGATCTTTTGAAATAAACCACGGTACTGGAGGCATCACATAATTAAAATTGTTTAATTCCGCTGGCTTGAAATGCAATATGAAATTTAGCATGCACATAATTTTAGCAATATTTAAAAAGTACATTTCCCTCCCAAAGTACTTTTAAATGTTTAATTCCTGGCTTGAAATGCAATATGAAATTTAGCATGCACATAATTTTAGCAATATTTAAAAAGTACATTTCCCTCCCAAAGTACTTTTAAAAAGATTTAAAAAGAAAGCATGTAAGTTTTCAATTGTAGTGAATTTGAGATCTACTTTAAGCCAGGTGTTAATTTTATAGCAGCAATTTCATTACTTTTGTAATTTTCTTCTCAGAGGTGGACTCAGTTATGGCTTTCCCCAGCCAGACCTTACCTGGTATAAGAGATGGACTGTTTCTAAGAAACAAAACAAAGTTATGGCAGTTTGGAGATAGTTATATTTAGAATTTGAAGTACTTATACACATTCCACACTTCTGCCAAAGGACAAAAGTCTCTCAAATTATTCCGAAGAATTTTGCATAATTTCATTATATGCAATTGAGACAAATAAAAAGACGATACTTATGTTTAGATTTAAGAACACTTTACAGTGTTTTTTATTGAGTGGTTACACCAGAAGGTGTGATGGTTGATGGAATTAATGAGTAAACCTGCCTGGCTCTCCTTGGGCAGCAGCCACATACCAAGGGTAGGTACGCCCACTTGGCTCAGAAAGGCCAGCAAGGAACATGGACAGTGGCCATACCATGTCCAGATGAAGGCGCTAGGATGTCAGAGAAAGATAAAGCTGGAAACAGAAATACATTTGACAATACCCTTTCTCTTGGAGTTAGTTTTTTGGTCTATAAACTGGAAAGGAAGGCTCAGACTTAAATAAATACATTTATTTTGAGTAATGGCCTTTATTGAGCAATGTCCACCAATTCTGCTTCAAGTGGGTTTCCCCCACTTGCAGCAGCAAGCATTTCTCCCTGGACTAAGGGCAGAGCAATGCCAGGATTCCAGCCAAGGTCGCTTCTTTCCTCTGTTATGAAGGGAAGTAAGAAGTGCACTCTGTTCTTAATGGAGAGGACAATGCCTTTTCTTTGACAGAAAAACAACCAGCTTAACTATGTGAGACAAGACTTGGTCCTCCAGTTAGCTTCTTTAGTTGATTTTGTCCTGGAATATATACAAATTATTGGTGGCAGCTACGGCAATAATGTTCTCCAAGGGGTGCCAGGCTGTGTGAAGGATCTTCTTATTGAAGTCCAGACTGTCCACACTAATCTCATCTTTCTTTCTTTTACCACCTGTACATACTTTCCGGGGTTTTAAGCTGGCTCGGGGTTTGCTGTTCTCTCTTGAAGCTTCCAGTGTAACATCCCTCCGACTGTTTCTATCAAACATTCTGAAGAAGTTGTTGTAGGACCCCGTCATAATAGCACTGTTCAAAACAAGAAAGGAACATGACTGTGAGTGCCTGGCACTACAGGCAGGAAGCAGCCAGCCCCCTCCTTCCACGGTGTGGCTGGTACACATACACAGTATGGACATTTTCATGGGCCCCTCCCTCTACAGCACTTAAGTAATTTTCAGAGGCAAAAGTGAAATAACAATAAAAAATTACAATAATGATTTCCTACTCAACTTTATGTACAGTCATGTACACATTTGTCACATTTGTCTATTTCTTTACTTATACCGTAGTTGACCAAACAATGCCTTATTAAAGTTTCTTTCACATGAAGTAATAGATATATACTCTAGTACCCCAAATAAAAGTCAAATAGTTGAAGAAATTTAGAACTCCATTTCTCAATAAGTTTGATATAATACTGTCCATGTTTTTTATTTCTTCAGGATCAATTCTAATGTCTCTGCAGTTGAAAATTCCATTAAAACATACATGCTCATGACCATTTTATTACACTGGTATGTAACCCCTCCACCTCCTGTGGTTCTGGAGATTGAACCTTGGGCCTGTGGACTGAGCTGTATCCCCACATCTGCCTTACACTGGTAAAAATTTTTGCAATCCCACTTTTCCTACAAAAATGAGAAAAAGGGCTCAATAATCCAATTTGGTCGTTTCCCTGGCAGATCTCTAAACTTGCCCCCCCCATAGCCATACCTCCCTGTATTTTCACAGCATGATGAGGGGCCTTTACAGTATCTAGGTGCCAAGATCTTCAAGACACTACATCAAGGTCACTGTCTGATATACATGGTAAATAAAAGGCTTTTCCTGGCTGTTTGTAAATACTTTCATGTCTGCTTAATCTCAACTAAAACTACACCCACACACAGACTCTTGAAAAGGAAACCGCAAGCTCCTTGGTTATTTCAAATGTATCATTAAAAACAAGAGGAGGTAGTAGTAGAGGGGCTGGAAAGGTGAACTATGCTTAAGGGCACTCCAGGAACAACACTAGGAACTTAGTTTGAAAAAGAGTGTGCTCAACGGTATGCACTCTAGGGTAGAATGTAAGGAGTCTCCTAAATTCATTCCCATGCAGAACACAATGCTTACCAAAGAAAAATAAAAATGCTCATCTGAAGCTTACATTTATGTTATTAAAACTCAAAACAGTGGGCTGGGGATTTAGCTCAGTGGTTCTACCACCTGCCTTGCAAGCACAAGGATCAAGGATCCGAGTTCAATCCCCGGTACCCAAACAAACCAATAAAACTCAACAGCAACTGCAACATTTAGAACACAGACTGACAAGATACTTTTCACAAAGTATTACAACACATTTCTGTGATGTGTAACAAGAAAAAGCAGAGCAACTTATATATAATTTTATGGCTACTTTAAAATTTTTCACAGACAATGCCTGCACTGGAGGCGGGCATTGCCTTAGCTTACCTGGCAACCCCTGCAAGAGGACCTAACCTTGTATCAATCCTGTCCCCTCAAAGAAGGGAAGAGAGCCAAACAGCAAGCACACTCATGAGCAAGTAGCTATGCCTTCCTGTTAGATAACCTACGGTTATAGACCGAGGCAGAGCGACAAATACAGCACAGAAGAACTTGCTCCATTCCACCTTTCCCCTCAATAGGAAACATCCAGCCAAGAAGGTAAGGGAGTATTTGCAAGATTAAGCAAATAATACTGGGAAATCTTTCAGATGTTCTTGCAAATGTGACTGGAACATTTTATAGAATTTCACATACATCAACGGGAGTGAACAGTATAACAAATATCCATGTCCCCATATGCCATAGCTGAGTTCAATCTCACTGTGTGCCCTTTAGAAGGCTTATCCTCCAACCTGTTAACAAGAGGGAAGCCACTCAAGTGGGTCTTTTAATCCTGTATACTTTTTGGGGTGGGGAGTAGTACTGCGGATTAAACCCAGGGCCCTTGCACTCAACATCACCCAGCTTTTTTAAAATTTTGAGACAAGATCTTGCTAAGTTGCCTGGGCTGGGCTCAAACCTTGGTCTTCCTACTCCAGCCTTTCAGACTGCTCCGATTACAGACATGTGACATTATGCCTAGATAGGAGGTTTACATCTTAATGTATTTTTTTTTCTAGCCTGGGTTTTTAGGGCCTTTTTGCAGAAGCCCTTTAGTCTCCAGATCTAAAGATGCTCCCGTAAAATTTAAGTCTTTAAAAACCCAGAGCTTATTCACTGTACAGTATATAGTTTTGTCCCCCCCAGCACAGCTAACCAGTTGGGACAGGTCAATGAAGATCTGTATGGTCAGGAGGCATTAACTCTGCTCACATCTTTGCTGGCTGTTAGGCTCATCTGTTGGCTAAGTCACCGACCTTTCTGGAATCCCTCTCATGCTGGAAGCATATGCTGCAGTGAAGTGAGTTCCTTCAGTTCTGTGTTTTCTGTCTGAAAACTCCTTTATCTTCTATGCTTTTCTTTTCCTTTTTTTTTGTTGGTACTGAGGATTGAACTCAGGACCTTGAGCTTGTGAGGTAGGCAGTAGCACCACTGAGCTAAATCCCTGGCCGATGGGATTTATGCTCTTCTTAAATGATCATTTACTTCTATGCACACTTCTACGGTAGTTTTCCCTCAGGACAATGAAGATAATCCAAAACTTACAATATACAGTTATCACACCAACTTCTGACTCTGCTATGGTTGGAGTGTGGCTGATCCCAGAAAAGGTCACACTGAGGCTTAACTCCCAATGCAGAAGGATGGAAGTGGTGGGGATCTTAACAGGCGTTTGGTGTCATTATAGTTTGCGTCCAGATGTCCCCCCAAAGCCTCATGTGTTCACAGGCTATTCTGGAGGTGACTGAATCTAGAGTATGTGATTGATTCATGGTGGGGCTAGGCCCAAGGGCGCTAGTAAGGGCATGAGTGCTACTCGCCCTAAGTACTCTGAGGCAGGCGGCAGAACCACTGAGCTAAATAAATCCCTGGCCCTCGCCCTAAGTACTCTGAATCAGATAAAAGGGGCAGTAAGATGTTGCTAAGGTCCCTGTTACCTTTGCTACCTGGTTTGCACCATGCTGTTTCTCCTCTGCGATGCCTGCTTGCCATCCCTGTCTTAGAGCCAGCCAACTATGGACTGAAACCTCTATGACCTGTGAGCTAAATAAACCCTTTCCCTTTTAACTCCGGGTTTCAGGTATTTTGTCTCAGCAATAAGAGAAAAGCAACTAACGGCAATTTGGCACTGGGGTTGTTGCTATGACATTATCTGGCCATGTGATTCAAGAGCCTTTGGACTGGCTTGTGAGAAGGGGAAGAGTTAGGAAAGGTTGAGATGCTGGCCGAAGAAGTAAAAGTGGAACGCCTTAGGCTGCTTTGTATGGGAGATTCTCATCAGAGCTCAGAAGACCAGGAAGCCAGAAAAGACCTGGTTCAAAAGGTTTCTGTGGGCAAAAAGGACTGCAATGGTTGCTGGACTCCAGACAATGTGTGTTACGGCTTGGCAGAAAGTTTGTCAGCATTTTGTTCATGTCTAAAGACTCTGCCTGAGACTGAGATTAAGGGTGGTGGACTAATTAACTTCCCAAAAGAAATTTCAAGGCAGTCTAATGTTGAGGCTGTGGCACAGCTGGTGTTGGGGTTTTTTGGCCAGATTTATGTTGAGAATCAAGAGCAAAGAGCCCAGGAGAATGATTTAAAATGCTTTGAGTTTGGCAAGAAAGGAAGATCCAATAAAGTTGTGGACTGCGAAGTTAGAGCAGAAGCGATCTTGACTGTTGAGAAGGGACTGAATAGAAAAGATGGCCTGATGGCATCATAAGCAGCAGCAGGAATCCACCCATTACAGCCTCAAAATTACAAAAGTGAAAGACTGCTTTGAGAAGACAGCCCAGAGCACCATGTTCCAATATGGTGGTGGCTTGGAGAATTTATTCCTTGGAATTGGATTCAGTGTGCTCAGTGATCCAGGCACTTAATCTGTGCAGCCAAGACAGAAGGAAGCCTGGCTACTGTTTCAGGTGGCGGCAGACCTTGGTATTACCTGAATGGTGCTGGTTTTAGATGCATGCAGAATGTAAGAGTTGTGGGACCAGGAAGGCTTCCACCCAGATTTCAAAAGGCCCGGAAGGCCAGGCAGTGCGCCCCTGAGAGGACAAGATGTGAAGCTGTGTGAAGCCAAAGATACAGTGGAGACCCCAGAAGTTTGGAGAAGCCAGGTGTGTGGTTCATCTGAGGAACACTGCAAGGAGGGAGCAAAGCTGATCCAAGAAAGCAGACATGAAGAGTTATAAACACCTGCAGTGCTGCAGGGGTAGAGCCACCCAAGCCCTTCGGAGTTCACAACTTGCCAGACTGCCAGAGTTGCTAGAAGTGGAACTGTGGGATTTAATATTTGTCCTACTGGATTTTGAACTTGCTTTGGTCCCATTCCTTTGTATTCTTTTGTTTTAACTTTGGGAATGGAAATGTCTATCTTGGGCCACTGAATGTTGAAGGTGTTTAAATTTTCTTTTCATTTGTGTAGAGACTTGGAGCTAAGAGTTTGGCTTAAATCTCAGACTTTGGACTTGGACTTTTCAGCAGTGATGAAACTACTAGGACTTTGGCAATGCTTAGAGATGGACTAAATGCCTTTTGTGTAAAAGAATGTACATCAGTCTTTGGGGAGCCAGGGGCAGAATGTTACAGTTTTGGGTCTAGATATCCCCACAAAGCCTCATGAGGTCATAGGCTGTTTTAGAGGTGGCTGAATCTAGAGTGTGTGATTGATTCATGGCGGGACTAGGCCTGATGGTACTAGTGCTACCCACCGTAGGTAGTCTGAGTGAGAGTGAAAGGGGCAAGGCGATGCTATTAACATCCTTTTGTTGCTTTTGCCACCTTGTGGGTACCTTGAACTATCTCTCCTCTGAAACCCTTTGCTTCTCTTGTTGCTTTTGCTGCTTTCGTCCATGAAACTGTTCTCTCTCTGTTACCCTGTCTTGGAACCAGCTAATTATGGACTGAAACCTCTACAAACTGTAAGCCAAATAACCCTTTTCCCCTTTAACTTTGGATGTTGGGTACTTTGTCTCAGCAATGAAAGCAAAGTAACTAACTCAGGTGTCAGGAGGGATCTGCCTTCATGAGTAGATTCATGTTTTTCTCAAGAGACTGGGTTAGGTCACTTGCAACTGGATTAGGTCTCAAGGGACTAGATTAGTTACTGCGAGAGGATGTGGTTATTAAAGTGAGTTCAGCTGGATCTCTTTCCCCACACATGCTCCTACCAAGTTATGCAAATCAGCTATGAAGGCTTTATCAGAGGCTCAACAGATGGGAGCTTTTATCCTGCCAACCTATGAGCCAAACTGAAAGGTTCTCTTTTAAAATCACCCAGCCATGGGTATTTTGTTATAATCACACAAATGGACAAAGATAGGCTTCCACTGTGGTTGTGGAGAAGTCTACTCTCAGCCTCATTGTCGACTCTGCATGATTCCTCAGGCTGCTTTTCATCAAGGTGTGAATGTAGATGCCTTTATATTCATTTTGGTATTTCTGTATTTCCTGAATCTGGTATTCAGTCTTTCATGGAAGAAAATTCCTAGCTATTATCACTAAATATTATTTCTCCACAATTCTGTACTTTTGGATAAGTACCTCATCTTACCTTACCTTCACACTTTCTAACCTTTCATGCTGTCTCTCTGGACTTTATTGTGAATAACTTATCTTCCTTTCAGTTCAACAATTCAAGATCTCAGCTAAGCTAGATTTGCTGCTAAACCCATACATGGATTTTTTTTGTTGTTATATTTTTTATTTCTAGAAGTTCTGTTTGATTCATTTCCAAATCTCCTATGTCACTTTTAATAATCTGGATTCCTTGTTCAGATTTTTGTTTTCCTCTTTTAGTCTGATGACTATTTCAAGCTTCCTTATTTTATAACATGTAATGATAATTTCAAAAGTTGAATACCTAGAATTTGTTGCCTCTATTGCACATGGTGGCTTTCTCCTACCTGTGTTTGTAATTTTTTGCTGTGTGACATTTTGATGGTTCTACTCCGTAGGAATCCTAGGAGACCTGAAGATGCTGGCTAGCGCAATCTATTACAGGTACAAGAGTATGTTCTCACTCGGTTTGCCACAGTTCCTTAGTGCTCCCTACCTTGAGGTGGGAGGTCAAAATGCAGGCTTGTTTATTACCTACCATAAAAGCAGAGGATTTTTCAAGAGCTGCTATGCAACCCCACTGCCTACACAGCTTCTGCCTTGTGGGAACCTATGCTAGCACAAAGCTCATGCTGCTTGCTTTAACCTGAGAAATACAGTCCTTGGCCTCTCTGTGAAACACTCCAGGATAGCAAGTGAGTCTATAAAACATTGTGATAGGTCTGTTCCCACATGCTAATCACATTGTCCACATGGAGGTACCAACTCTTCAGTGTGAAGGTGAAGAAAAGAAATGAAGGAGTTGAACTCAGAATGGAAAATGACTCAAAAGCCCTGGGCTGGCCTCAGGAGTACTAGCTACAGCCTCAAGTTTCCACAGCTGAATGGTGGCCCCAGACCCACGTAAGTAACCTATCAAGATTGTACTAAACTTTTGTTGTTTTCAGATAAGAGTCTTGCTCTGTAATTCAGGCCTGAACGCATTATGTACCTCAGGCTGGCCTTGAACTTGTGGTGATCCTCCTGCCCCAGTCACCTGAGTGTTGGAATTTCAAGTGTGTACCACCACACCTGGCTGGCATTAAACATTTATGTATGTATGTATGTATGTATTATGTACTGGGGATCAATGGCATTAAACTCGAGTGTAAGGTTTTTCCATAGTGAGTGACTAGCTAATATAATCTTTGGGAACACATCTCAGGAGATTTCTAGCCACCCAAATCCAAGGTCTTAGTAAACTATGCCTACTTAGATGGGTGCTTTCCTCATAAAACCTTGTGTGGGTCCAAGCCCCATCACTGAGCTGTGGAGACTGAGGTACAGCTTCCTGATATTCATGTGTCCCTGAGGCCTCTGTAGGGCTCTGAAGTCATTTGGGGGGGGGGAATGGGGGTGGTTGAGGCAGGGTCTCCCTTTGTAGTTCAGGCTGGTCCTAAACTCACTATGTAGCCCAGGCTGGCCTCGAACTCACAGCAATCTTCCTGCCTCAGCCTCCTGAGTGCTGCGATTACTAGTGTGTGCCACCATGCTCGGCACAGTAAGCATTTCTATGTGCTTATTATGCTGAAGTGCTTTGAATGCCTAGCCACTTGTGACCAATAAGTGAACTCCTGTTCACTTATATTCTCAATAAATATTCTACATAAAGTAAGATAATCTCCTTCCATTGTCTGAAATGGGTGGTTTGCTTTTGTTTTGGTATATTAAAGACCTAACTCTCAGCAGCAATGGAAATAACACTTAAAGAATATACAAAAAATAAATTATGGAGGTCCTGTAACTCCCACACTACACAGTAAAGCAGCACTTCAGAACAGAACAATGGGCAGTGAGCTCTGATGGTGTTCTTCTCCACATTTCTGCAAATGTGAAGGCTAACTGTGGCCATGCCAACGAAGCAAGGGACTTTCCTACCCCTTCCTTTTTCAGTTGGGTGTAATAAAACAGCTGCAATCAATTATATAATATGCATATTATGCTATGCTTCTGTCTAAACGTACACGAACTATGAAATGAGAAATTTGTCCTTTTTCTCTAACTGCTATCATCAGCAAACAAACAGAAGGCCTAGAAAACACAATCCTATTAGTATTCCTCTTCTGCTCCTCTGGACAGTGGCAACCCTGGGCCCCCAGTGGCAACTAGGTATGAGTACCAGTCTTGAAGCCTTACTGGAGACCTTGAGGAATCAGCAGTCATTCACAGTGACTTGACATGATGCAGACTCACCTGTCTGAACCATTCCAGCAGCACTCAAACTTGTCAAAGATGCAGTCATTCTCGTACAGGGAACATAGCTTGCTTCGCAGGTATTCATGCACCTGATGGGTCTCCACAGGCCTGCTCTCCATGTTAAGGTCCCACACCTTCACTGACAGGTAGTCTCTTGTCATCATGTATCGACCACTATGGCTGAATTTGACATCAGAGATGGATGAAATTATTTCTGAGAAAAAGGACCTACTGCTGGGATCTTCAGGCTCTTCAAAAACTGAAAGACAAAACAAAATACTTCCAGCTTCTGTTTCAAATGAGAGGACAGATCTTTTAAGTTCAAGTAGTTTGGGACCTTCACTGAGACCCTGGAGAACTTAGCTTTGACACTACTAAATCTCCTGACCTTTTGGCCTTCTCTAAATTTTGATTTTTTTCCCCCAATACTGTAGGTAAGAGCTGTGGATACTCGGTGAACACCTGAAGCACAGACATCCAAATTTCATGCAGATTTGGAATCAAAATCAGATGGGCAAGGTCTTTAGAGCATCCTGATATATACCAGTTTCAGGACCATGGCATGAGACTGAAACCATTACTGCATGGATGCCTGTGTCCTCATGGCATCAGGCCAGATCATACAATGTCCTGCTCCATCCATGTCCATCACAGGAAGATGATACCCGATAAAGAGCAGGTCTCAGAAGGGGCCAGGCTGTAGGTCTGCTGGACTGATCTCTAATCTCTTAACCTGGCAATATGGAAGTTCACTATTAACATTCAAGTGGATCCACTGGCCAAAGCCAGTCAGCCAACAAGGCTCTTTTGCATATTGCACAGTCATGTTCTACTGTGACTTAAATGAACCTATACTGCTTGTTGGCTCTACACTGGAAGTTAACCTGAAACCCGCTAGTGTAACATTTAGCATTTATTCAACTAAATTACTTTGCTGTCAAAAACTACTCTTAAAATCTAAAATTGTTTTCTTAATAATGTTATCTTGAAGACAAAAGGCAAATGTTTATATTTCTTCTTCATTGCAGTAATTCTGAAAGTTACATGGAATTCTTAAAAAGACTTCAGCCTCAAGAAAGAGAAGGCAGAAGGTTGCTGAGAACTACCTAGCAAGTGTATTTCATTAAGGGATTGTTGGTGCTGGCATACTTACAGTTACCCCTATCAGTACTGGGAAAGGTCAGCAAAGTTTCCAGGATGCATATTGCATAACACAACATAGGATAGTATTTTCCAGACTGAGCCTATTCTATTCTTTTTTTTTTTTTTAAGGTCTCCTACCTCAGTCTCTGGAGTAGCTGGGACTAAATGCTTATGTCACCCTGACTGACAAACTTTTTTTTTTGGTACTGGGGATCAAACTCAGGTCCCAGCGCTTGCAAGGCAGGCAGTGGAACCACTGAGCTAAATCCCCGGTCCACAAACCTGTTCTTTATGACTATAAACAAAACCTACTTTCATCAACTAGAAGGAACTTCAAGGCTCAGTGAAATAAAATGTAGAATTTCTCCCCATGGAGCTGGCTTTGAATCTAGCAAAGCTCAGTATGAACACAGGTCACACCGAGAGCTGAGGATGGTCACAGGTGAAATGCACAGTGGCAGTAGCAACCCAGGTCCCAGTACACAGATAGAGATCACAAATGGTTTCATATGGCCTCAGATTGGAAAGTGTTCAGACGAGGCACTGAGATCCAAGGCAGAAATAAACTACTGGCACCAAAAGCCCTTGCCTCACAACAGTCAGTTTAGAATGATCACCTGCAGGAACAAGACCTTAAGTTCCACTCCCCATGAGCAATGAATGACTAACAGCAGAGCTGCCCTCAGGCTTTTCAAAGGCAGGGCACCCTATATTTGCCTGGATGTGAGAAGGGCAAGAGAAACCTCCATTAGTGCATATGGGTTACTGTCTAGGAAACAGAAGGGTTTAAATGATACTGTTAAGTGGCATCAGGTACTTACACTTAGAATGTCTGTCACACAGGGCAGAGGAACGCATGTCACATAGCCGGATGGTCCCTTTGCTGCTGCTGTAGACAAACACATTGCACTGGTGTGGGTGGAATTCGGCAGCGGTGATGACTTCCGTCAGCTCTTCCATGTTAGCAGGCTTGATATCCACGATGTCTGGAGCACAGCGTTAAGGCACAGCGCTTGGATGATGAGGTTAGCTATACCCCACCCACCAAATGAGTAAGACATGGAGGAAACATGCAGTGAGTTTAAGAGACCAGCATGAAAGGGGCTGATCACACAATTGGCAGGCTTTGGATGGATGCAGCAATCGGATTACAGGATGTACCTGAGAGAGGGTAGATCCAGACATGAACCTTGCTTTCATTATGCTGCTGTGACTGTCCTATGAAGTCTCTAATCACAAGACAGTGCACACTGAATGACATATGAAAGAAAGGTAACTGAGTGCTACCTATGCAAATACCCCTATACAAAAATAATTACAAACACAAGAATGTTGCCAAATTCCAAGACACTGTTTTTCTAACAATAGGTAAGAGCTTGTTCTGAGTCATGAGAACAATGCCAACAAAAACTGTCAAACACAGAGATCAGTCAATCAAAATAACAAGAAAGGAAAGAATTCAGCTCTGGGCTAATTTGCATAGGGAGATATACCTTCCAACTGAGAAAACTAACAAACTAAATCCACAGCACAAATCACTAGATACCAGAGCAAGGGATAGTGACCCAGAGAGCTTTATAGCTGCCCAGAGTCAGGCTGTTCAGTGTGTAGGCTGTAGCAGGAGAGGGGACACGGACAGAGACTGATGACTCTCAAGGAGACAGGTGGAACTGGGCACCGTAGCACATCCCTGTAGTCTCAGTACTTGGGAGGCTGAGGCATAAAGATCACTGCGAATAAGTTTGAGGTCAGCCTGAACTGTATAGCATGACCCTGCCTCCAAAAAAGAAAAATGAAACAAACAAACAAAAAAAGACAACTGGGGTCTGGGAGAGATGTGGCTATAAGAGCTCACAGGATGGAATAATGGAAAAGCTCCCAGGAGCCATAATCCTGGTGACCACTCAGGAGGACCTGGATGAGGGTTGAGGACCATGGACACTGAGGCAGCCCCTCAGGGCTGGGAGAGGCCCACTGTGAGTGGGTGGCTCGATCTCTTACCAGAGTTCCAGACGGCGAAGCTGGGGAGGGTCTGTACAGTTTATTGCAGGGCAAGAGGTGTAAGCAAGGACTGGCATTCCAGGAGCCCAAGGCAAGACAAGTGGCTGAGCCACAACAGGACAGAGTTCTCATGTGTAACCAAACACTATTATAATACAAGCCACATTTTCTATTCTATTGCCTATTTGCAAATTTAGAAGAAAAAACATGCAATGCTGATTTTTCAAATATCACTGTCTCTGAATCACATGAGCCATAAGCTTCAGGTCAATCCCCTTATAGAGAACTTTCCCCCAAGGCAGAAAAGGAGTCTATTTTTAGGAACACTAAATCACATAGAACTTACATTATAGGTTACTAAGCAGCAAACTGTATTTATTTTACTTTTTTAAAAACTGTACTTAAAAGATTAGACTCTGAGATATAAGACTGACTACATGTGTATATGAGATATAATTGAACAATAATCTTAAAAAAATGCAAAGACAACCACCTGGTGAAGGATACTAAAGCTTCTGTCTGTGATTTCTAAATGCCATAGGTTTATTCTCAGGTCATCTGCAGAAAGATATGTTTCATGATCACTATTTACTGAAATGGAATTTATATGATATGTGTGAGCATTTGCAAAAATTCGCCGTGGACTTGCTTCTACCATGAGGTCCATGGGCTTCAATATAGGAACCTAAAAATGGAAGGAAATAGGCATTCAAAACAAAGGTCACAACACACAGAGCAGATAATAAAAAGGGACAAATGCAAATCTGTACAGGCAACACTCCCAGATAACCACTTGTCAAGCTGTGATAACAGGCACAAAATGAAATAGCTATCTATTTAAAGTTTTTTCTCCTTGTCTCCAAAACTGGGGATGACACATTCTTGTTGAAGAAAGGAAGATAAAATGACCCTAACTGCCTCCAGAGAACCAAGGCTTCACTTTCCTTTGTTTTCTGATGGCCACAACCCAGACACTGGACAGCAACATCTTGGAAGGTGCAGTGGAGACCCTCCCTTTGTCCTTTCTCCTTGCAGCTGGATGCACTAACCTCCTCTTTCACAGCATCTGGTTTTCTGTGCCAACAACATGGGCCTCAGTGATGAGGCTGTATGCATGTGAAAGGAAGGAGGGTAGAGTTTCAGGGAGCTAAGGATGCTCCACTGCCTATCAGCAGCTGGCTATATAGGCATGTCCAGTCTGAACATTCACAGTCACTCACATGGTAGATGCATATCTAGGTACGTATATTATACTTCATCAAATGCTAAAAACAAAACAAAACAAAACAAAACACCATCTCAAAAATGGCACCCCACTCCTTCCACCTCTGTGATGAGTGTAATAAGGGAGGCTTCTGGGTAACACACCGCTGTACTGAAAGGGGAGAGGAAGTGAATGAACAGAGAACATGTGTGCAAACACAAAGGCAAGAGTATGGTCATGAGGAACAGTGTACCACACGGGAAAGAGGAAAAGGGCTGTACCTTACTAATGTCTGGCTGCAAGGGAAGCAGAAGCTTCAAAATAAAAACAAAAAAAGATAGTATTCACTGTTATTTTGTAATTAGGCACCACAAGGGAGTCTTGAAGGCTGGTAAGAAATATCTCCACTGAGTCCTCTTTGACTAAATTCCGTAAAAACGACCTTGAAAAAATACAGAGAGATACAGCTCTCCTTGTAACTTAGCCAGTGCAGACCATACCCTTAGAGGCCCTAGAACTCAAAGGGTCAGTTCTACCACTACAGGACTAAAACACATGCCTGCCTGTGAGATGAATGAATTTCTCCTTAAAATACACATACCCCAGCCATGACTAACACGTCTTTAATTAATCAAAGCACATGACAACTGTAATATTCCTAGTAGAGCCTTTCTTTTAAGTAAACCCTTCTCTGGCACTGAAATAACTTCAGAGAAAAATATTTAAAAAACAGCAACATTTCTGACTCTTGCCCAGATAAGGTCAGATGGAATTGAATTACCTATCCCATAACCCTGTCCCTTTACACAGTGTAGCCAGTACAGAAACTATGCTTCTCAAATGCCTGGATTAAAACCAACACTGGGCCCAATAAGACCTATAGTTTTCCCAAAATAAGCATTTCAACCCACAGAGCTGTGCAGGGGTCTGATGGGGAGGCTTGGGCTGCTGAGAGAGGGCTGGCTATTCATGCACATGTGGGTTGAGATCCTGCTGGCAGCGCGCGAGAGAAACAGCACTGGAATGGTCCCAGTGCAGCCCCCACCATCAAGATACTTTCCATTTCATGAGGCTGACAGTTTAGTATTAAACACTGCACTTCTCAGTCTTAGAGAAGTCATAAGAAACCTGGTGATAACCTCAAAGAGGTCTGAGAAAAACTGTCCCCCTTGGTTTATAAGCCACTGTCTACAGTTAGTAGAGACAGAAATGGCTCTCAATGGCCTCCCAATATGGCTCAAAAAATGGCATCAAAATAGATCATGCCCACTATGCAGGCAGGCCTGACACACTGCTATTGGCAAGTGTCAGGGAAAGGGCTGTGTATAGCACCCTTTCTGGCAGCACCCTTACCCACTGTTCTGAAATGTCCTAGATAAGCAATCTTTCCCTAATGAACACTAGTGTGACAGTGCTCAAACCTCATTGAAAAATCAGACACCCAAACATTTCAAGGTATCTCCTGCACCCTCTGGGACTAGGCAGCTTTCTCCAGAGCGCCTCTAAGCAGGCGCTGGTCTTTCTGTTGGGCTTTGTCCCTGGCAGAACTTCCTGTGACTCACCAGACTTAACTGGGTAGGAGTCAAGTTTTTTTAAATGCTTTACCATATTTTCATCTAAGAAACCACTGATATGTGCACTGATTATAGATTCAGATTTTAAGTTTTACTCAACAGATGCAGAAATGCAAAAAAACTTATTAGAAATGAAATATGGTCACCTCGTATTGCACCCAGGGGTTCCAAAAGGGAGAGAATTTCATAATTAAAAGTAACAGGGCCAGGGATTTGGCTCAGTGGTTCTGCCACCTGCCTCTCAAGTGCAAGGTCCTGAGTTCGATCCCCAGTACAAAAAAATAAATACATAAAAAAGTAACAATATTCATAGAGAGGTGAAGAATTCTGGAACATCAGCATGTGCCCTAGCTACCTGAAACTCCCTTAGCACTGTCATTCATATTATCTTGTAATCTGCAAATGCTCTGAATTCCAGGTGCTGCTCTAAAAGAGGTCTGTTGTCAGGCTGGGGATTTAGCTCAGTGGCAATGTGCCTGCCTTGCAAATGCAAGGTCCTGAGTTTGATCTCCAGTACTGGGGAAAGGGGGCAAGGAAGGAAGGGAGGGAGGGAGGGAGGAAGACTGAGATATCAGGAACCCGTGGCTCTCCTGGAGGCCTTTTGCCTACTGAGTCCCTGGGGGTCTCAATGAATGGCAATGCCCTGCTAGTGAGCTTTTCCCTTACACCCTTAGCTGTATTTCCTGAGAATAATGTGACTTTTTGCTTTGGTTAAGACTTGAAGACTCTCACTTTAAAACACACAACACAAAATGATTACTATTATGATGAATGGGCTCCTGATATTTCACTTAACAGCATTCTTCAAATAACTGATATAACACTGTTCTTGATTAATATTTGGAAAGGGCCGGAAAGTTTAAAGAAGATGCAGTGTATACCCGCAGTGCTGTAATTCTAAATGGATCTCGAAGTCGTCCATCTTCATCTTTCAAGTTATAACCTTCCGCTCTTTTATCCCGTTCACTTATTTTCCATAATTTAATAGTTTTATCTGAAATTAAAAACCTCAATCTTTATATTAAAAGAAAACATTACATGCATCACTATTATTTGAGTATGCAAACACATGCAGAACAGAGAATGTAATATTGGGGATTATGGGGGTATATTTTGAATTTTCAATCTATCACTTGTCACTTTAGCTGGTAATTTACCCCCTACGTAAAGTTTAAAGGAAAATCAACTTTTAGAATGACTTAAATGAAATTCACTCATATAGAAAATTTAAAATATGATACTAAGTCAAACAGCCACTTAAAGGAAAACTTCTTACCATTTGTAGAGAGTAGAAAATGAGCAGCATTCTGTTGTGGCAACCATCTAATTTTATTAATTTTTTCTTCAATTTCAAGACTTTTCAAATAGTCAAACTCTGGTTCATGACTTTGAAAGGTACTGTAAACATTATATTCTCCCCTAGAATGAGGACGAGTTTTATTCTGCAAGGAAATATAACAGATATTTCAAAGAATAAAGTATAGTAAAAGAAAATTTTAGTACTACCATTTTATTTATGTATTTATTTATTTATGTTTTTTGGAGACAGGGTCTCACTATGTAGCTGAGACTGACCTGGATCTCACTATGTAGACCAGGCTGGTCTCGAACTCACAGCAATCCTCCTGCCTCAGCCTCGTGAGTGCTGGGATTACAGGTGTGAGCCACCACACCTGGCCCAGTACTACCACTTTAAATATCAAATGATCACGAACTTTTTTTTTTTTTTTCTGTTACAAGGAATTGAACTTGGGTCCTTGCACTTGCCAGGCAGGGGGCAGCAACACTGAGCTAAATCCCTGGCTCGATCATGTACATTTTTTTAGAAGTTAAAAAAAAATATCAAATGGGTGAAACTCAGAATTAATGTATTCAGAAAAAATAAAGAGTATTTCCTAACAACTTGGGCTGGGGATGTAGCTCAGTGGAATAGCACCTGCCTGGCAAGTGCGAGGTCCTGAGTTCAATCCCCGGTACCAAAAAAGAAAAACAAAACAAAACAAAAAACCTCCCCCAAAACAACAACAACAACACACATGTCTAGGTATCTATTCTAGGCAGGGTCTACCATTTGTGGACTGCTGTATATAAGCAGTTTTGTGGGAACATGACCCAATTTGATTTTGACATGCTGCATCTGACAGCTTCTGCCCTCCCCAGCAGCTGCACAACTGTGAAGGAGTCTCAGGGCCAGAAGAGGCACCAAGGCTTGCAACCTAGGCCTGGGGACAGACTACCTCCTGAGATAGCTAAAGAGGAGGTAGACGAAGTTATAGGGTCATACCAGCCTCTGTGATGGTTATGCAGACAGTGCACACCTAAGCAGAAAGGACAGATGGTCAGTGGCACAGCTACACATACAAACCACGCAGCAAGTAAGTTCATGGACCAGCAACAATAGGTCCTACAAATTCATGTGGAAGAAGAAGCTGCACAAAGATATCCATAGTAAGGTGCTGCTTATAGAAATTTAACACACAAATAATTCAAAATTTAACAGTAAAATAGAAAAACATGCTTGGAAAAAATATAGCATCTTTCAAGTAAGGGGAATTCTGGGAGTATAGTGGTACAATCAAGTGAGATGAGGAAGAAAGTAGAATGAAGTAGAGGCCACAGTGGGCATATCATCTGTGTCCTGAGTATTTTCTTTCTTTTTATATTTTGTTTAATTCTTGCTATGTAACCAATATCTAAAATCTTACACTTTCAATGCTTTAGTATGTATGCCAAGGAAACGGAACAATCTTTTCAAGATGAGTGCTTTACATTTTTGAATTAAGACAGAATATTATGAGAAGATACTATAAAACAATATGTCGGAGCCGGGTGTGGTGGCGCACGCCTGTAATCCCAGCACTCGGGAGGCTGAGGCAGGAGGATCACTGTGAGTTCGAGACCAGCCTGGGCTACACAGTGAATCCCAGGTCAGGCTCAACTACATGGTGAGACCCTGTCTCAAAAACCAAACAAACAAACAGACAAACAAACAAACAATATGTGAACCTCTGATTCTAAGCACTGCATGTTTCTTGAATTCAGCACTCACCAGAAGGAAATGAAAATCCTTTCACTGTGTGGTTTTCTTGGGTATGCTACCTCAGAGGTTTAATGCTATTAAGCTGCTTATCCCGCCGCCCCCCGAGCATGCCCCACTACTCCTCTCTACAAAGAAGCACAATCCACAAACACAGTTCTAATTTGGAAAGGAGAAAAACAAAATTGGACTATTACAGAAGAAAGATTTGTGGAATTTCGTCCCATGCGTGACATTCATTTGCTGAGGAAACTGGTGGGATACAAACAAATCAGTGCTACCTGCTGCTGCCCTGGCCACTTTACTCAGGAATCAGAGAAATGCAGACCCCCACCATAACCACTCTCAAAACTCCCACCCAAATTCCTCAAGCCCAAGTTCCCTCACCAGTTGCCAACTAGGAAGGGCTCATCAGTCCCTAGTGTGCACGAAGAGACTCTCCCACTCTGAGGAAAGGAATTCTGAGGGAACTGAGGGAAGCCTTACAGGGACTAGAGTGGATGGATGCTACAGCTGCTAGGACAGGACAACAGGAAAGGGAGCTGATGGAAGGCTCGTTTTGTTTCTGTGCATGTTGATATCTGCTTTAACTGGATGACCTGACTCTGCCATGGTGAAGCTGCACACTTGGGAGAGACTGGGCAGACCAGAGTTCTGTAGTAGGGTCATGCCCATAAACTCCATATCCTTTCATTTTACACATAAAGTTCACTGTGAGATTTAACACAGATAATGGCTCTACTAATAAGGAAAGAAGCAGCTCAAGTTGGGTGTAGTGACACACATCTGAAATCCCAGCACTGTGGGAAGCTGAGGCAGAAAGACTGCAAGCTTGAGCCCAGTCTGGGCAACTTAGCATCTCAGTGAGACACACTGTCTGAAAATAAAAAGGGCTGAGGATGTAGCTTATTGCAGAGGCCCTAGGTTTAATTCCTATTAAAAAAAAAAAAAAAAGCCAGAACTTCCCAACAGGTCCCTATCAACCTAACTCCCTATTTTACCAGTTTGCCCCTTCCCCTTCCACACCACTGGGGCACTATATTTCAGCAATCCTCCAGGCTTCCACAATTCTAACAGGCATATTTGACATCTCTGATTCTGGGGGCTATGGTGCTTAACTGCACAGTGGGCCTTCTAGGTGTGCTCTAACACCAAGAGTGGTTTTGGGCCAGGGATTTTAGCTCAGTGGTTCCGTTGCCTGCCTTGCAAGCACAAGGTCCTTAAGTTCAATCCCTGGTACAAATCAGCAATCCTCCAGGCTTCCACAATTCTAACAGGCATATTTGACATCTCTGATTCTGGGGGCTATGGTGCTTAACTGCACAGTGGGCCTTCTAGGTGTGCTCTAACACCAAGAGTGGTTTTGGGCCAGGGATTTTAGCTCAGTGGTTCCGTTGCCTGCCTTGCAAGCACAAGGTCCTTAAGTTCAATCCCTGGTACAAAAAAATATAAACACCTTAGGGTCCTGCTCCTGTACAAGTCTATCGTTTCACACCCTGATTTAACATCCCATAACTAAATACTAAAACAAAGCAATATCCAATACATTTGGAATAAGACACTTGACTTTTTAATCATAGTTTCTTTTATATTTGAATCTAATACTTTTTTGGGGGGCATTGAGACAGGGTCTCACTATGTAGTTCAGGATGGTTTGAACTTACTATATAGCTCCAGATGGCCTCAAACTTCCAGCAAATCTTTTTTAATTTTTTGTACCGGGGATCAAACTCAGGTCCTTGTGCTTATGAGGCAGGCACCGGAATCCTGAGCTAAATCCCTGGCCCAACAGCAAATCTTTTTAAAGAACTAAAGTAAAGTTTTCAATTTAACAACTTGTTCAATAATCACACTGATAGAAACTAAGGTACATGGTTTTTAAATAGTACTGTGTAATAATCTACCTTTGAGATAAGGGTATGAAATTATAAATTCATGAAATTTCCTATACAGATTTAGAAAGACTAGATAGTAAATATACATATTATTTACAAAAGCATTTCTCATCAGCCCAAGTCACACAAAACAGGACTTCTAAAAAGTTTTCATGAACAAGAGAATGTGATCAATGTGTATGACAACTATGTACTAATAAAAAATATAGTTAAAAAACAGAATGTGATCAATATATGAGACAAGTGTACTAATAAAAACATAAAGTTTAAAAAAAACCCAAAACAAAAAACAAAACATAAAATCCATGACACAATAAAAATGCCAGTTGCAATTGGCTCTTTTTGGTTGGTTTTCTGAGATACGGTCTTGTTTGGTGTGTAGCTCAGGCTGGCCTTGAACTTGTGGCAATCCTCCTGCCTTAGCCTCCCAAGTTCTGGGATTACAAGTGTGTTACCAACCTGTCCAGGAATACTATATTTTGGTGAGACTTATCTAGCTTTACCCACCTTTCCCATTAAACCAAACAATCCTTTGACCCACGGTGGTCCAGGGGTTGTCCTACACACTTGTGAAAGCCCCCCTTGCCAGCTGCAGGGAACAGTACTGAACCACTTATGTCCTACGCACATATGATCCACATGGAAAAGCAAAGGGTCTCTGACCAAATTTTTGCAATAACGCAGAGACTAGAATTTGGAATTGATAAGAAGGGGAGGGGCTCGGCTTCTACTCTGTTAGACAAAAAGCAAGACCAGTGTTTTGCAGAGGCCCTGAGCTTGGTGCACCATGGTTCTCTCACCTTCTTTCTTACAAAACAACTACGTGTGTTTTGGGGATGTTAGGAATTGGCCTCACACGTTAGGCCAAGTATTCTACCACAGATACTCCCTCAGACCCTGCACCGTTTCTTAAACTTAAGGAGTTATTCATGCCAGGCAACTGATCTACACTGAGCTACATTCCCCAGGTCTTAAAACCTTTTTTTAAAATTTTTATTTATTTGTTTGTTTGTTTATTTTTTGAGACAGGGTCTCACTATGTAGTTGAGACTGACCTGGAACTCACTATACAGCCCAGGCTGGTCTCGAACTCACAGCGATCCTCTTGCCTCAGTCTCCCAGGTGCTGGAATTACAGGTATGCACCACACCTGGATTAAAAACTTTTTAAAAAGACAAGGTCTAAGTTGCCCAGGCTGCTCAACTCACAATCTTCCTGCTTCAGCCTCCCAGGTAACTGGAACTACAGATAAAGGCCACTGTACCAGACGCAGATAACAATCTTGTTCCTTAATCATCACTAAGAGCTCTGGTGAACCTTACCAGAAATGGAGGTGTGGGGTCAGGGGCAAGAGTTTCTCTTAGGAGTGAATTCACCTGTGAACTCCTTTCCATAAGGACAGGAAAACATTCAGGAGTGTGAAGAAGTGAGCACTCGTCTCTACAGAGAGGATCTATGCCCCACCCATTTCTCTGCAGCAAGTGATTTCCAAACAGCCTCTTCAGCTAATCACTAGAGGAAAGCACACACATTCCAAATACCACCACTGCCATTCTTCCTTGAGTCCTCGCCAACCCTTGGGTGTGGCAAAGATTCTGCCCTACTTTAGATGAAGGTACCAGGAACTCAAGGAAGCCTGGCAGTGACACACAGATCTTCTTATCCTTGAGGTAAGGTCTGAAAGCAGATTCTACAAGGTCAATGCAATAGGATGAATGCGGCAAAAGACACAGGAAATAGTTTTGCTTCCTTTCTTGTAAGTGACATGCAAACAGTTTAATTATTTCATTTGATTCGTGGACTGTAAATTACTGACCTCTTGTTCTCGTTGAAAAATAACAACTCTGCCACCCTTGTCTCCTGTTGCAAGAAGATCTCCAGAGTAATTAAATTCAACAGTTGAAATGATGTCAGCTGTCAATAAAATACAGAAGCAATTACAGACTGTGTTTGTGGGAGGAGTCATAAGGAATATAAAAAAACCAAAAGATGAACACACACAAAATGTTCTCTCTGAATAAAGTGAAATTTCCATGGCAAATTTATAGTTACCAAGTAATTGTCTCTTGGCTCTAGGATGAAAAGCAAATCAGCACATTTGAGTCTTGAGTTTGACTCTACTGATCAAATGCCTGGTCTCCTAGCAAACTAGCATTTATCTACACTGAGCTGTCTAGTAAATCTTTAATATTCTACATAGTAACTTTTGTTTGCATCTATACAAAATAGTATAGAGAGTAAACATCCCATATCTGTGTCTGGATAAAATTAATGTCCCTTTGATAATAACATTACAAAGTGAGACAGTAAGATACTTGTGACTTCTGGCCCAGAACACAAAGATCTGGAACATGGCTCATCAGAAATAAAGACTATGGGGGTCAAAGAACAAAACAATCACTGGAAAAGTGCTTTGGTTCTCTGAGGCAAATTCTCTGGTTTAGAGAGATCTGGAATTTGTGACTTTTTCCCTCCCCCTAATTCTGAAGACTAAACCTAGGGCCTTCACACTGAGCTACATCATTAGCCTTTTCTTTCTCTTTTTAAAATTCTGAGACAGGGACTCACTAAGTTGCCCAGGTTGGGTTCAAATTTGAAATTCTCTTAACCTCTCAGGCTGTTAATACAGGTGTGTACCATCAACACTTGGGTAACACAGACTATTACATCAAGAAACATATCCCAGGTCTGTACCTTGAAAAAAGATCTTATATTTTCAAGAAAAGACTCTGTGATGGACTCTGGAGGAACCTGGTCTGCAGCTCAGCTGTGTCATACTGCCTGAATAAGTAGGTTGGGCACTAGTTCCAGGCACAGAGGGCTGGCTGGGTGAATCCTGTGATCACAATTAGATACTACACCTCAGTCTGAAGTGCTGCAGTTTCAAGAATGGCTGGATCAACTAAGAAACTCATCCCTGCTGCCAGGCACCAATGCACAGGCATGCAGAATGGCTACTCTACTCAGCATCACTAATGGAAGTTTTCGAAGACAAAACTACACAACTAATGTAAACAGTGTATCTAAGAAAGACCTAAAGGTTGAGAATATTTGAAACCCCCCTCACAAAAATGGCAAGAAAATGCAATTTTTAAGTCTACAGAAACCTTTTAACCAAATTACTTGTAAACGCAGTTTCCTGCTAACATCTGCAGAGTGATCTTGATATCTGGCACTGCTCACTGATTCCACAACCAATTCCACCGTTGAGATTGCTTTCTTAAAAATAAAAGCAAAAACAAAATAAAACAAAAAACAAAATTTCTGGGAAAGGATTAAGCTGCTTTTATTAGAAGCTCCTCTCTCAATCTGTTTTTGTAGTGCTGGATAGTGAACCCAGGACTTTGAGCATGCTAGGCAAACCCTCTATTACTAAACTATACATTCATTCCATCATTTTTTCTTTTTCATGAGACAGGTTCTTGCTATGTTGTTCAGCCTGGCCTTGAACTCATTATTCAGCCCAGGCAGGTCTCAATCTCTTGGTAACTCTCCCTCCTTAGCCTCCTGAGTGCTGGGGCTACAGATATGTGCCACCACATCTGGCTCCATCACTATTAAATTACCCAAAATAACCTAATGTGCTCAAATGAAATGAACATTTTCTGTACTGGAGTAAAAGAGACTAAACCTATGTCAGAGGATATACAATATTATATAATTAACGGTATTGTAGCTATCAATGATTTTCAAATTTAATTAAAATGGACTGAGATTTTTTTGTTTTTGCTTTTGGACTGGCGATTGAACCCAGGACCTTTGTAGTGAGCTAAATCCCCAGCCCCTTTGTTTGACAGACTGATTGATTTTTGAGACAGTATTGCTACGTTCCTAGCCTGGGTTTGAATCTACTTGCCTTGGCCTCCCGTAATGCTATTACAGATGTGCAGCCCTCAGGTCCAGCTTGGACTGAATCTTTTAAAAAAGAAACACCCAAAATTGCCAGTGTTGAGAAATAACCTTCATTAAGTCACATAAATATGTATGGGCTTAGAATTAAAAATACTCTTTGTAAAGCTTAAATAAGCTCTGAACCCAAAATACAAAAGCAATTAAATTTTAAATTATCAACATCAATTTATTTGATAGATACTGTCTTACAAAATAAGACTGATGCTAAAAGCATAAATACAGTACTGACACAGGGAACTGGGTATTTCAAAATCACCATGTACTTACAGGAGATTCGATCCTGTCTTTATTTTTCTTTTCTTTCTTTCTTTCTTTTTTTTTTTTTTGGTTTTTTGAGACAGGGTCTCACTATGTAGTGGAGACTGACCTGGAACTCACTACATAGCCCAGGCTGGTCTCAAACTCACAGTGATCCTCCTGTCTCAGCCTCTCGAGTGCTGGGATTACAGGAGTGCACCACCACGCCCGGCCTGCCTCTATTTTTCCTACTAGAGTGCCTGTACACAGCACAGCTTGACAACCCCTTGCTGTCCCCTGGTGGTACTGGGTCTCTACTCACCCAGAACAGCGCCACAAACTGTTCTGATGCATTCCTAACCTTCTGATAAATGTTTAGATCACATCAAACCTAGCCGTCACCAGCAGCCTGGAGAGTCCACTTCAGACTTCCCTGTTGAATGTGGTGGACTGCACATATGTTCATGTTCTTTCCATAACAAGGGATAAGGAGGACGGTGTGTGAGCTGTGCTGAAGAACCTGTGTACGGTATCTCTGACAAATGCTGTGGAGGACTGCACGGAAGTGGGTGCAGACTCTTATAGCCTAAGTGCATGCATGCGCAAAGCTTCATGGTGCCAGTTCAATACTACTGAGCTACCAATTTAGTTTCCCACACTGGGGTTTTAGGAGATACTTTTAAGTTCATAGCACTGTGGCAGACCACAGGTCTAAGACCCAGTGCGGAAGTACACAGGGGATCTACAAGGTCAGAATTGGGTGGCAATTACCTTGGAGGGATTAAGGCACTGAGGACTACATTGCCCTGCCCGCAATAAGAGTACTACAGATAATTTTGCTTTAGGGTGACCACCGTGCATGTTTGGAGTTCATGCCCATTTGTGCATCTATCACACTTCTGTAAGGAGCTGCATCTTCTCTACCGTCACTTTGATACCAGTCATCCATCTCCACCTGAATTCATCCACACTGCTCTGCTCTCCATGATCTGATTCTGGCTCCTACCCTCCAAGCCCCTCTACTGCAGCTTCCCTTTCCTCCAACACTCCCCCTGTCTTTTTACTATGAAAACTGGCCACTCCTGCCATCTGCTCCCTTCAACCCTGCTCACCTGTGAGATTTCCTCCTTGTTCCCTTGTACACTTTCAGACTATCCTGAATTCATTTTAATGAGTATTCTTTGTGCACCACTCAGCAAGCTCAACTTCAGCCAACCCTAAAACTCTGGTAACCACTACCAAACTGACTGTCTCCCTTTGCTGTAAGTGTGTAACAGGAGGACTGAGGGTAGGGGCATTACTTCACACTCTGCAGCCCATATCAGAATATATGTACACTGGAAGGACTCAAACAGTAACACAACAATTCTAAAAACTTCACTGAAAGGAAATTTGAGATCACAACTCCCTCACAAAAATTCTGTAATAGGAACTTATCCAGAATAAGGACCTGCTTTCCTGGAACACAGAGTTTACTGAAAGTGTTAGGTATGTCAGGGAACTTCCACGTACACTCATGACTACAATCATAGAGTACTCCAGGTTAGTACACATTTACAGAAAGAAAAGTGAAAAATGTTCCACCAGCCCATGCATGTACATACACACTTACACAAAATTCCTAAATATGCCTTTAAAGAAGATTATCCAAAGGCAAAAGTCATCTCCGTTCAGAACCCAAACACAAACTGACACAACCCAACCGTAACCCACGGGATGGACACACCACACCGAAAACAAAACAAAACACGCTGAGCTAATAATAAGTTCAGCAAAGTAGGGTACAACGTCAGTACACAAATCAATTTTAGTAATATGAACTACCAATATTTCAAGAAAAAAAATTCTATTTACAAAGAGTGATATACTAAAGAATAAATTTAATCAAAGAATTCCAAGGTTTATACATGGAAAACTACTAAGTAACACTAAAAAAAATTTAAACAAAACATGAGTAAATGGAAGGATAGCCAATGATCATGGACTGTAAGGCTCAATGTTCAGTTGGCAATATTCTCCAAATTTATTCATAAATTCAAGGGATAGGGCCAGGGATTTAGCTCAGCGGTTCGGTGGCCTGCCTTGCAAGCGCAAGGACCCGAGTTCAATCCCCGGTACCAAAAAAAAAAAAAAAAAAAAACAACACACACACAAACCCAAAACAAAACAAAACAAAATAAATTTAAGGGATAGGTAATAGTGCTATAAAAATCTGATGCCCTTCTTTCCCTTTTTTGCATAAATTGGCAAGTTAATCCTAAAATTCACATGGAAATAAAAAACAAAATTGGAGAATTCACATTTCCTCATTTTATTTATTTATTTTCTGGTACCGGGGATCGAACTCAGGTCCTTGCGCTTGCGAGGCAGTCACCAGAACCACTGAGCTAAATACTCGGCCCTCACATTTCTTCATTTTAAAACTTACTACAAAGCTACAGGAACCAAATAAAATTAGAGGAATCAGCACAGTGTGGGACAGGCTTATGGAGAGTCTTATATCTATGGTCAATCTTTTCTTCTTTGAGGGGTGGGGAGACAGGCTGTTGCTAAGTTGCCCAGGGGACTCAAACTTGTGATCCTCCTGCTTCATCTTCCCCGAATACTGACCAGAATGTTGAAAATAGGTCAATCTATTTTTAACTGCCAATTCATTGGGAAAATAATATTTCAAAAAATGGGCTTGGACAACTACCTATATGCAAAAGAAAAAAGTTCAGCCCTTATTTATAACACATATAACAATTATATACAAATATATTACA